TTGAAGCGTCAACGTGGTAGTTGCGTGGACTGTCAATGGAGGGACAGAAATCTCTCGTATTTCACTAACATAAAGTTGGTTTGATGTTGGACGTTCCACATTCAAAAATTTAGGGACCGTCTCTGAAGTTAGATACGACATTGGTACACACGTTTCTAACTTCAATAGCATTTAAAGAGAATGACTTACAGTCACAAAACCAACTGTAAAGTGTTCATGTAGGTGTCAGCTATAATGCACATTGCACACCTTTTAGATTTTTGATATTTAATAAAATAGTTGTCAAATCATGTGTAAAAATTGCTATTTATTTCACTATCAAATGGGCTCAAACACAAAATAATTTAAAGCACAATAGCATTTGAGGAGAATGACTTACCCATTACTCATGTAAACTGTAAAGTGTTCATGTAGGTGTCTGGTGTCAACTATAATGCACTTGCATGCACACCTTTTAGTTTCTTGATATTTATTAAAGTAAACTGTCAAATCATGACTGTAAGTCATTCTCTTTAAATGCTATTAAGCTTTCAATTTTAAGCCTTTTGGTATAGTGAAATAAATAAATAACAATTTTTACACATGATTTGACAGTTTATTTGAATAAATATCACAAATCTAAAGTGTGTATCACACCTGACACCTACAGGAACACTTTACAGTTGGTTTTATGACTGTAGGTCATCCTCTTCAATATGCCATTTAAGTTAGAATAGTGCGTTTACCGATGTCGTGTAACTTTAGACACGGTCCCTAAAGGATGAACGAAAGTATCACCGGTTTGTTGTGTAAATGAAAGAATGACATTTTTGAGTGAACTAACCATTAAATGTGCTTAATTTAACCCTTTATTTAATTATGTTACCAAGGGTGATAAGCGGGGCACAACCTAACACGGGGCTGGCTAGTGGTAACACACATGGTTTGAAACTTGACGAAACAGTGTATTTAGGCTACTAGTTGCCAACACCATATAGAGAAAGAATTGCGCCAAAATTAAATAAATCTTAAGATATCACTGAACATTCATTTAACCATAGCAAAAGTAAATTTCTTACTGAAGTAAATTTTTCATCTCTGTTTTATGTTTATTTAAAATTAGACAAATCTGATATTATTTTAATCTTTTGTTGTTTAACAGTTGATATAGTTCTTTAAAGGGATAGTTCACTTTGAAATTCATTTTTGGTATGTTTTAGCTTATACTCAAGGGCATCCAAGATGTAGGTGTCTTTGTTTGGTCTAAGACACAAAACGAGCGGTTTGTGTGAGAAAACGAACAGTATTTATATCGTTTTTACCTCTTGTAAACACAGCCACGTCCAAGTGTTCTGAGGGCGCGGGCGCTTCGGTCTTTTCCGGCAAGCGCCGGAAAGCGCCGGAAGTGATCTCTCGCGCGTGTACGTCACTCATACAATTGTTTTAATTTTAATTTTATTTTTAATTGTTTTCTTTTACGACGGTTTAAACATCCCGGATAAGCGCAAATTAGTACCATTTTAATTAGCCGTCTTACCTACAATCTCTGTTCTGTGTAAACAATGAGTGACGTACACGCGCGAGCGATCACTTCCGGCGCTTTCCGGCGCTTGCCGGAAAAGACCGAAGCGCCAGCGCCCTCAGATCACTTGGACGTGGCTGTGTTTACAAGAGGTAAAAACGATATAAATACTGTTCGTTTTCTCACACAAACCGCTCGTTTCGTGTCTTAGACCATCAATGTGTACTTACATTTACGAGTCATTAAATCATGTTTAATTTGGACTTCTCTGTGCATGCTCTTTGAGGAAGTTACCATAGACCTGCATTATATGACTGACAGACAAGAACGGTTTGACCTAAAAATATCAAAATTGAAACCACTGCGGAAACAAAGACGCCTACATCTTGGATGCCCTTGGGGTAAGCTAAAACATACCAAAAATTAATTTCAAAGTGAACTATCCCTTTAATGCTGATCTAACCAGCACAAGACAAATGGGTGGCAAGATGTAACACTGTGTTACAATAAACCTCTATTAGAATGCTATTACTTTTATGAATTCTATTGAGAAACCATGAGAAAAAAGTGAATAAAGACTAAGAGTCAATGTTCAGAAATTATGAATTATTATTATTATGTTTTGAACTATGCTGTTTTGTGGTGGTTTTTTTGTCAAACTCAAAAATTAGTTTATTTTTAATTATTGAATTATTTTATATGAAAAGTTAATAATTGTAATTCATTGACAAAATATTTTAGTTTATCGTATATTTTTTGATTAGATCAGATAACATTTTAAGCTGTGCCCCTCACATGTTACAACATGCCCCACCTATGGGGGATGTTGTCACATTTCACTTCCATTCTTTCCGAGTATATCAAGAAAAATGTATACACTGTATTATTGAAACAAAACCACATAATTGACATGTGGGAAATTTATGTGGGAAAAAATCAATTCTCTCAACCCCAAGTGAATTTACCAAACTAAGAAAGACAAAGTGTTAGGTGTGCACCGCTCTCCCCTACTCCAAATGTTGCTAAATTTGGATCTACTAATCTTTCTTATCTTTTCTTTCTTAACAGTCATGGGGAGTGAAAAATATAAAGGAGAGCTCTGTTATAAGACGTGTCATCTGTATTCAGCCTGCCCTGTTGCATTATGGAGGTTTCTTTCATTCTGTGTATCCTCACAGCCATGTCCTTGGGTCCAGCAGATGGACATGTGGTGGCTAATTTCTGGGATTCACCTGATTGCATTAAGTTCTTCTACAAGGAGAAAGTTCCAGAGCTGGGAGCTTCCCGGCCGAATGTCATCCGTTTATGTCAGCGCTTTCTAAACACATATCACTTCACCACACTTTATGACACATACTACCGCATAGCTGTCTATTCTGCATACATCTTTCAGCCAAGTAATGGCGGTGGCAGAGAGACACGCTGGTTTGTAGAGCCACAGGTGAGTAACATCTATTATTCTTGTGCCTTCAGAAAGTGCTGATTATTTTTGTGTTTGGTTCCCGCATCATCCAGTTTGTTTCTAACATCAATAAAACAAGAAATTAAACTTATGAATACAAAAATACTTATATTCCCATTTTCTATTTTTACACTGTAAAAAATATGATTAATAAGTGGACAACATGTTTTTACATTGCAATTGTAAGCAATTTTCATTTTCATTTTATACAAGATTCAACTCATTTTTTAAAGTCACTTTAATGTAATTTAAGTTGAAATGACATAAACATCCATGTTGATTTTACTTAAAACTTTTAAGGCAGCAACTTTTTTTAGTGTACTTGAACTTGGGTTACTTTGTTTTTTGTAAATGTCAAATAATTTTTTTTTATTGTAAAAAAAATACTTCAATAATGAATTACAATATTTGTTGTCCAAAATATGTTGTTGTTTTTTAGTTATTGTTTAAGTTCTGTTTTACTCTTTAAATTTAGTTGAAAAGTAATAAAATGCTGTTTAATGGCAGGTTTCACTGACAATTTATCTCATTATTGGGGCATGTTGTCAGAAAAGGTTGTGTTTAGTGTGCTGAGTGCTTTGTACACACTAATGGTAAAAAAAAATCAATAGCATGTGTTTATACAGACACTGTAAAACTTTAAAATATAATAAATCTAATTTAATAAAATAATAAAGCAAAATTTAATATTAAAATATAATAAAAGATTACCCTGGCAAATATTTACTGGAGTTTTTTAGTTTAAAATGAATTATCAATAACTTTTATATTTGTATATTAGTGTAATTTTGACGTCTCATTAAGCCATCAAAACAATGATGTTTTACTAGTTGGTGAATCCCACATGGTCAAGTGAAATGCAAGATGGATATAAGCTGTCACAGCAGAACCCGGACATCTATCTGGGAGAGAAACAAGCTTTAAATGAAGACTACACAAACTCTGGATTTGACCGTGGTCACCTAAATCCCAACGGACATCATGCAGGTATAACCACTAATGAAGATTTAGTCTTCCCTCTTGTTGACCTTTTCAGGGACTGAGGTCATACGTTAACATTTAATATTATTACATTTATTGGCAATCTTAAAAGTTACTCTTTAGTATACAAAATATGATATACATAAAAAAATTATTTAATGGACGAAAACATCCTAAAATCACCTCAAAAGTTGATGAATTTCTTTTAAATTTACCTTTGAAAAATCTTTCTTTTCTCTCTCTTTTATCATAACTGCTTCCTGTTAGTTCCAAGTCGTAATGCCACCTTCACCCTGACCAATGTGGTGCCTCAAAACCCAACGCTGAACCAGAACGCTTGGAACAAACATGAGTCTAAACTGACCGCCTTGTTTAATGCAAACTGTCATCAGGCTTATGTGCTGGTTGGTGCCATCCCTTCTTCTAACAACTGGATCATCAAAAACAATGTCAAACGGGTGAACATCCCAGAGTACATCTGGAACGCTTACTGCTGCGTCGATCAAAACGGCCGCCCCATCCTAAGCGGTGCTGCGACTGCCCTCAACACAGAGCTGAATGTTGTTGTGGAACGCAGCCTAAATGAGATGGTCAACTTCCTTCAGCAATTCTCTGATGCACCAGTGGATGAGCTGTTCAGCGGCCAATGCAGAGCTTAGATTAACACTTTCAAATAAACTCTAGCAATAAGGTTTAATTCTGTATTTTCAAATCACATCATCATTACGCACCATTCAGTATCTTTTAAAATAATATATACGATGACTTCTCTTGGATAAGAAAGGAAAGTACACCAATACAAAATGCAATGCCATACTGACAGTTTTTTAATTGTAGTACATGCATGTGGTTTTTGGTATTTATGTATATGTTGTGTTTTTAACATGCATGTTCAGGTTATACTTAACCTTAGCCCACTTGCCCATTAGCCATTCAGAATATATGTATAAGTTTGTGCCTCATATTGATATGAATATATTGCTCATCTACACACTTATTCGTTAAAAATGAGAGACATGATAATGTCCATGAAACTCCAGATACGCATATATCATCTTTTATACTTAATCTAACCCCTCAATTATATTAAAACTGAGATGTTCTTATGCGTACTGGCTCATAGGATGGTCATTCCACTCAGGGAGATGAGAGATCTTCTCTTCTGTGCTGGGCTGGATGGGCCAACCCCACGCTTTGAAGAAGGGGGACAAATTCACGTTGACCACCTTGGAGAAGGTCTCAGCATACAGATTCATCTTGCCTGCATTGTCATTTGGCACTCCATTCATAGTATGGTAGGCAGTAAAAACTTTCTTAAAAGCATCCCAGCCAAATTTTTCCTGAAGCTTGAAAAAAAAAAAAAAATAGAAAGATGATGGAAGATTACACACACAAATGGTTATAAATATATATATATATATTATATTTATAAAATTCTATTTTTATGATAATTACATAAACAATTACATTTTTATATTGATTTATTCCGCATAAGATTTTATTGTTTTGTTTTTTAAAAATGAACCTTAAAATAATTAATTATTACTTCTAGGGCTCACAAATAATTCATTATATGCCAATACTGGCAATAATGATGTAACCAAAATGTACATTATCAAACAATGCTTTAAAACACATGCATTTAACTGATTAAACAAACTGTTAAAACATTATACACAGTCTGTTCTTACCTGCATGTAAGTCTCGAGTGCCGTCCACATACTCCAGCTTTTTAAATCCTTTCCGCCACTGTGATACATCTTGGCACGAGCCTGACGGTTTTCTGGAGTGATGGCTGGATGAGCATTAGCTCTATCAAATCGCAGAAGTTCCTCATGTACGTACAATGACCACAGGTTGCAGGTGCACTCAGTGGTGTGTGGAGGGAACTCCCAAACTCCACGCTGCTGGTTATGACCCAACTCATGAATGGCTCCCCAAAGACCACTTTTATAGGCTTCCTTTACGTTTATTAGTGCTGGGGCAGAGTTGGAGTGCATCATGATGGGATATCCAGCATGCATGAAACCTGAGGGGTGAAAGGGGGAACATGTTATCGTCAGGATTGTGAAAATATACTTAGTAATAATTATAGCATGATTCTGTTTTTTTTATCCCAGCAATAGTACCACTGACCGTGAGAGATCTGAACATCTGCAACAAACCGCTCCTTGCGGGGTAACTTGGCAGGCCTTGCTGCCAGGTCAGTTATGCTTCTCATTATGGTATCCCACAATGTAGCCACCTCATCAGGGCAGTCCAGATTCCTTACAAATTCTGATTCTAATGTGATGATGATGTTCTCAAACTCAAGTTCTGCCCAGGGGGCAGGTGCCGAACGGATCCTGCTCACCCAGTCAGCTACACTAGTCTCTCCTGAGGGACAGAACAAGTTTTATCATGTACCTTTAAATGTTCTAAATAGAAACCTTACTGTGATGCTCACTGAATATTAATTCAGAATTCTTACCAGATTTGAAGTATGGAGCCTGTACTGAGACCTGCAAGACAATTTCCACCCCTTCCACTTTGCTCTGGGGAGGTGCTATTAGGTAGATGAGCCCTCCCCACAAATTCCAGACCTGTACCATTTTTGTGTCCAAAGGGAATCGCTCATGGACCACAGGAGCCCGTTTCAGGATGTTTGCTCCACCAATGTTATCTGTCTGGCAACCAAGCTGCACCTAAATAGAGTATATCCTCATGTTAATAACATGCTCTCCAGGCCATATGTGCAATAAGGTTGTATCTAGAATAACAAGTATAGCTATAACATAAAGCACTATTCCTTGATTGGAAACATGTATAGAGTAGATTTGATTGATTACCTGCCAATTTTTCCCAACGATCTCTGGAGGTACTGATATGTACGTCTTCATACCAGGAGAAAGATATAACCCTGTGCTTATCCATTCCTCACAACCTGAAACAAGAAATTTTATAGTGCTTAAAATAGTATAACTTAAAAAAAGGAATAACATTTTTCATCCTGCATTTGGCAAGAAATATTTTGTACCCCCAGTGTTAGCACTGATCCGAACTCTTGCATCAGACACAGTGGGCAAGTTGGGTCTGTCCTTGATGATGTATGGAAGAAGGGCATCAGGATTAGGCGACACTTTGTATATCTCAGATCCAATGTGGAGCATCAGGTGGTCTTTACCACATTCGACAGGACAATTACTGCACACCTGTGGAACACCTACCTCCTTCACTATGTCACTAAGAATTGCTACCACTGAGGTGTAGGCAGCACTGTCATGAGCACGCATACGAAGGTAACTGCCACAGTCACTGGCCAGCTGCTTCAAGCAGCCCTGTTCATGAGCAGTCAATTCTTGCCCCAGGCTTACATGTTCAGCAAACCGCTGCAGCATGCTACGAAAGTGGTACCCCTCTCTACAACTATGCTCTATATCTAGGGCCTTATATAACCCTCCACCCAAGGTATTGCCTAAGAGACACAATCCCATCTTGTTAAGAATATGATTTCCTGGGTATTCAGTCATCACATTGCAGCCACAGTGGGTCTGAGCCCAATACCAGGCATGACCCCCAATCAGAAGTCCTCCACCTTCAGCAACAAATTCTTGGATCTCTGCACATTGGGCATCACTGTAGGAGGTGCATACGTAGACGCTTAGATCTTCTCTGAAGCCAGTCAACTGGCAATCTAAACCTGATTTGCTCAGTACCACGTGGGCTGCTTTGAGGCTGGGTAGGATCCCAATAACACCCTTCCGACCCTCATCAAGCCACTTGATAGCATTGATCATGAATGTGGACAGAGAGTCCCGGCCCAGGTAGCCTTCATGGGATGCCAGAATTACTCGACCTTGTCCATAATAAGCACCAGCAATGAATGCTTTTTCAGCAGGAGTGACTGCAATGGGGAATGCTAATGGTCCATGCACCATCACCTCAGATGCTAAAGCCCCTCCTTGGGTGTCAAACTCGGACACACCTTGTAGCAGGAATTCTAGATCATCTTTGAAGTCTTTGCCTATTCTGAAAAAAGACAAGATAGATAGTGAATGGTTTGTTAAAGAATGGGTAAAAAGCAAAAATGTGTGCTCAACTTACGAGACAGAAAGCCAACTAGAAGGAATGTTTCTTGGAACAGGAAAGTTGCCAACTTCTCCTGGGAGTTCAGAGAAATAAATTCCTGCAACACTGCACACCTTGTTTCCTGGAAAGTTCTTTATAGTGTTTTCTTGTGGATGGTCATGAGACCAACTCCATGCTTGGCCAGCAATGATCAAACCACCTCCAGCTTTGAGGAAAGCAACCAGATCCTTTGCACAGGTCTCGACACTGTAAGCATCTGTGATATATATAGCTAATTCGTTACGGAAGTCTCCTAGCTCTGTCTTGATAGGGCAGTAGTTCAGGTTTTCAGCTACTGAACGTAAACTCCCCTGAATTCCTATAATGCCGGCATCACCGGTACATGGCATAAGCCACATTAGAGCATTCTCTATGAGGCCAGGAAAGCGTGTTAGGTATTCCTCATGTCCCAACACCACTATACGTCCCTGACCGTAATGAGATGCAGCCATCAGCACCTGACCTCTTGGATTCATGGCAAGTGGAAAGGCATGTTCACCTATTAGTACAAGATCACTGGGGACTGCTTTCCCTTGGAAATCAAGCTCCTGCAGCCCAGACATGAGAGTGTAGTAGTCCTCTTCGCGTGCCATGGTGAATTAGTTCTGTTTTAGTAAGTCAGTTCAAATCACACACAGTTTTAAAGGGTTTGAACACTGGGTTTGTTCAACCAGAGTTTGTGCATGCAGAAAAATGATACCGAATGGTTTTCAGTCCTACACAAAGACAGAAAATTAGAAAAAAAATCAAGTTTCATATATTGAGAAACAAATAGAAATGTAACTTTGTAAATGTTATTTTTTAATGAATTACATTTAATATACAGTAGTATACACAAATCTGAATATACATAAACACACAATTGAAACTTTATTCCCCATCCGATCCCAATTGTGACTACAGATGTAAAAAATTGCAACTTGATATTAAATATGCACACACTCACCTTTATCTGTAGATACAAACAAGCTCAAATGACTTTCCTTCTTAGCTTTGTGTAACTACTGTGGGAATGTGTTTGTGGCTATGACTATGGCTCACCCATAAGGAGCACACCCTAGGAGCACGCCCATAAATACACCTTTTTCATTTTGTTTGTTCATCTAGAAATCACCATCAACCACTCCCTCCAGCATTTTTATGTACTAGTTTGTATCCTATGTGAGACGAGTAGCTTCGTACAGAGCTCCCCAAATTACGGGTGGCAGAAAAAACAAGATATCATGGAATGCTGGAATACACTACACAACTTTTGTCCAGATTTTTGCCAGATATACAGTCAATAGGAATCAACACTAGTTGTCGAAAGTCAGAGCCAGTCTGCAGATTTTGAGCAGTAATAATTGACAAAATTCACAGAAAAGCACGAAGCGTCGGATTTTTAGCTTCAGACTATGAAATATTTTGTGTTTTCTTCCATATGTCATGAGCAGGGTTCCATAGCTGTAAGACAAAAACACTTGCCACTTTAAACTAAACTGTTGGTACTGCATTATGCAGAGTAAATATATGTCAATGTTTATCAAGGCTTAAGTATTAGCAGGATATCCTATCTCACGATAATACTTATGTAAACTGAAGATTAATCATCTAACAGGTGTAAACAAACTAATAGACTCATACTATTCTTTAGTCTGTGCACTTTGTACTGATTTTCAGGTACTAGTCAAAGGTTTAAATCCCCTTTTCAACACAAATATCCTACTAGAAAAACAGACAGGCTACTTTTAATTGTTGCAATGCAATACGCTGCCAGCTTATAGTCACCATAAAATCAAAACGGACAAGTCTTAATTTGTTATGGAATAGTAGTATTTATTATAAATATTTTATCTGTGCACATGTTTTTTTTTCTTCTTCTCTGATGATGTTTTTACTGGCGCGAGGGCAAGACAACCTGTCACTCAAAGTTTCCCACTGGTTGTGAGCAATTAGAACCAAGATGATGCTATCATTAACTGCTTTTAAAAACTTACAAAAGGTCGTTATACAGTTTGTTTTAGTGGGCTATACAATAAAATACATCGGTGGCTAACACCATGTCGCCACACTGTTATAGTAGTAACTTAAACCACAGTAGGTGTGGCAGAAGAAGACTAACTTAACTTACTCTCATACCCCTTTTCCACCAAAAACGAACTGGTTCGGAACTGGTGCTGGTTCAAAGTTGGTTCGGAGTTGGTTCAACTTGCGAACCTTCTCAGAACCTGTTTGTTTATCCACTGACTAGAGCGCCCAGCGAACGACGTCATTACGTCACTGTGTACGTCGCCATACATCTTAGCTAGAAACGCTTGCAAGTACAACATTACTTTGGGATTATCTCTAACTCGTGAACCAAGAAGGCTTTAAAAACAATTGAAATATGTAAGTATTTTAATCTTTTCCTTTGATATGTAATCTTTTCTGATTAGTTATGTACTCCTGTCTTGTGTCTTTTTTTTCTTTCCATTTATTTGTTCTATATTGTGACTGTTTTCTCCTTTGCTTACATAACGTTTTCAATAAAAAAATAAATTAAAAAAACTAGAAACGCTTGCGCCAACTTCAAGCACAACAATTACAATGGCGGACTACATCGTGTTTCTGCAAATGTTTCTCCTGGCTTTGCGATCCTATATTATGTCAGAAAATATGTTATCTAAATCCGCCCCCAGCCCCCGACGTAAGCATGACGTGGTAAAAGAACGGTTCTAGTCCAGCAAAGAGTTGGTGCCGCTTTGGAACCAGTTTTCCTGGCCGAGAACCGGTTCTTTGGCTGTCGAAACACAAAGAACTGGTTCGCGCGCAGGCACCGGCTCCGAACCGGCTCTCAAAATGCGTTGGTTGAAAAGGGGTACCAATGACACGGGAACCAAACCATGGGAGCCGTTGTTCCACATCGGAAATATTTACGAACCGGACCCGTGAAGGGCGTACAACAACTGAATCGCAAGAAGTAACCGTAAAGTTTTAGAAAACAGGTATGTGTTATTTGGATTTTGTCTTGAGTATTTAGTCAAATTTAGGTGGCCTGATTGAAATATAAATTTGAGAAACGTTGTATGTTCACACAGACTGCGCAGGTTTTAAAGTTAGCTTGAGTCTATTATGATCCCTTTGGTGTCAAAGTCCGACTAAGTTAATTGTTTTTACACATGAAACATTAAAATAAAACGAAGTTACGGCATGTAGCTATAATGAGTTTTTTTTTCAGTTATCTGGTTAAATATTCATAATTAGCTCGCTAAATAAATACAAAATGTACAGAGGATTGGTCATTTAGTATAAATTTAGATTATTTGAATATTAAATCATTGTATTTCTTACTGTAACGTCTCTCCTCCTGCAGTCCAGCTGTTCTCGTCTGTGAATGACGATGCAGTGCGCACTAGTGAGTGTGGATGGAGCTCGGGTGGAGCTGGCTGATGGTCGAGCTTTTATGTTAGGTCGAGGCCCTGAATCCAGAATTTCAGACAAGAAGTGCTCGAGGCATCAGGGTGGGTTTTCTCATCTCACACCCAGCCTAGTTATACAAAAAGTTGTAAGCGTCATTTTTTTGTCTGCTCGTAAAGAATAACGAAGTGCTTCTCTTTCTGACAGTCAAACTTGTGGCCAACTATGCCAAACAGGAAGTTCTGGTTACCCAGGTAGGTAAAAAAAAAAAAAAAAAAAAAAACAGCATGTTACAATTTACTGAGAGAGTACATTTTATGAAACCAATTATTTTCTTAATAGTTAAATCTAGGAAAGCATAAGTGAGTACAATCCAATCTGTGTTTTTACAGCTCGGGCCCAACCCATCTTCCCTGGACGGTCAGTCTTTGGGTCGTGGCAAGTCTGGATGTCTGACATCTGGTTGCACACTGTACTTGGTTGATCAGTTCCACCCGTTCACTGTGGAATTTGTTGGAAATTCAAACGAAAAGTCTTCCTCTCCTCAGAAGAATAGAAATGTTGCAGATGAAAGCAGAGATGGAAAGAAAATCTCAAATGATCCCAAAAGAAGCATCCAGGATTTCTTTTCTAAATCTTCAAAAAAGGTATCAAGATAATCCATGGTAGTGGAACTGTTTGAGGAAATATAAAATAAATAAAAAACCCGAAAGAAATAACACTTTTATTCAATAAGGATGCATCAGATTGGTCAAAAGGGACAGTAAAGACATTTAAAATGTTACAAAAGATTTCTATTTCAAATTAATGTTCTTTTGAACTTTAGAATTTTATATATATATAAATTTTATTTTCCATCTCTCAGTGTGTTTTTTTTTTTTTTTTTTTTTTTTTTTTAAGTAAAACTACAACAAATTGCGTTGTTGGAATTAAAAGGACAGTGTTTAAAAAAGCCAATAAATTATTATTTTTCTTTCTTTCTTTCTTGCTCTTGTAAACACATTTCTGCACATTTCTTCGACAACAGTATTTTTGCTGCATTTTAATAAGTTAAATATATTTTGATAATAATAGATAAACTTTATCTAACAGTTTTACAGAAGGAAATATAAATGTTGGCACATGGCAATTCTGTACCACAATTAAATGGCTATAATGCATTATGAATTTATATGCATGTCATCAATTGTATTACTGCAGTTATTTATTTTTTTGGAAGTGTTTATAATAATATTATATTCATGATTTAGAAACACTTATATTTTTCTGTGTGTTTTTGAGGAAACAGGCAAGAAACAGTGAGCTAGGAAAAAAATGATATTGAAGAATACTTTAATAAGATAAAAGGTATATAAAGCCTTAAAAGAAACATTACAATTTGTGGGAAATTTACATTTTCCATTTCTGTGGTACAGACATTTTCAAACACTTTCAACCCATTTTTTTCCTTTTAAATGATTATTATTAAAGTTATTTTATGTCATAAAATCAAATGAAATATCCCATAAAACCTTGGCTTTTGTTTCTCAGGCAACAAAACGACCTCGCAGCCCAGAGAAGGATGACACTTGCATGAAACGAGTGCGTGACGATGAGGATGATGAAGATGAACAGACCTCATCTGAGAAAAAGCTTAAGCAATTACAAGCATTTGCTGAGAGAGAGAGTGATGAAAACCTGGTACCACCAACTATCAAACCCAGCGCTCCGTCTTCCACTTGCTCTCAGAGTCACTGGCAACAAATCGGCAGCCTTATGTTGTTCACTGCAGCAGGGGTTCCAGAAAGCTCCAAAGTAAGACATGAACTTTCACATAGTGTTTATTCAGCACATAGTGATTATTCAGCACATAGTGTGTGTTTTATTCAGCACATAGTGTTTTATTCAGCACATAGTGTTTGTTCAGCACATAGTGTTTATTCAGCTCATAGTGTTTATTCAGCTCATAGTGTTTATTCAGCACATAGTGTTTGTTCAGCACATAGTGTTTATTCAGCACATAGTGTTTGTTCAGCACATAGTGTTTATTCAGCACACAACGTTTGAATTTGAATTGAATTTATTTATTTTAAAAGGGACAATGCACATTAATTATTAATTATCATGAGCACTCAAGTCCATCATGTAAATCTGCCAGATTTAGCCATACAGGGTATTTATCATCTGTAGTCCCTGGCAGGTTGATGGTAAAATCCACAAGTCCATAAAACATACAACAAAAAAACAAACAAAAAAAAACCCATATAAAAACACATTCCAACAAGCATAACCATAATCAAAGTATATTAATACAAATACAGAATGACTTTAGATATAAGGA